CATCACTGTTGCTACGGTTACACCTAATTAACGACATAAATGTTGATTCTGGAGCTAAACGATGGAAATGTTTTCTGCTTTTCTTCGTGTTTTCTGAACATTTTGGAGCTTTTGTGTGATCTTACAGACGCTACACTGAGCTCTTAGGCACATTTCTTACTATTTGTTGACATTTTGTGCGACAGATGGATTATATTTGGCCCTAAAATGAATATTAATGAGAGTAAAGGTGCTCAGGCAGCAGAACAAAACACTAAATCTCTCAGCGTTTGCACCTTTGCTGCCTGTGAGCGACACTAACTACGTACACGTTGATTCTGGAGCAGAGAAAAGTCGTCTTTGAAGCAAAACTGACGAAATTTCTTCAGTTCCAGCTTCTCAAATGTGATAATTTTCTGTTTTTCTTCGTGTTTTCTGTCAGTAAACGGAATATTTTGGAGTTTTTAGTGGATTTTCCCGACATTTAGAGACGCTAAGCTGAGCTCTTTGTTGACATTTTCCAGACGGATGCAGAGCACACTGAGGTTAATCAGGAAAAAGTGCATCAGTAGTATGTTTTAGAGGGAATAATGCACATGAACATGAACTTTTCTAGATGTTAAGGTGTTATAGCTTCACTACATTAACTACAGATGCTGCAGTTATACTTGGAAAAGTTCTCTGACGTGATTCTTTTCAGTTTTTTGACAGTAAACTGAATGTTTTGAGGATTTTTCAGACAGAAGCAGACATTTAAAGACGCCACACTGAGCTCCGACGAGCCTTTTCTGCTCCGTCTGGACGTCTGCTGCCTCCTCTGGGGATGCAGATGTAATATTTGCGGGTAAAGCTGGGCTAGTTCTGCAGGCCGAGCTCCACAGAAGCAGCACTTTGCATGACTTTACACAAACTGCTTTATACAAATGCAGAAGCCCACAGGTGCAGCTCCACCGCAGAGCTCCGTTAACGGTGAGCTCTGTAAATCATCGGCCGAATTCACAGTTAGACACATTTAATCAGTGCGCTCATCGTTTCCGTTTTATTCATCAACACTCCGTTTACCTGCCGCGGCCACACGAGGACGCTTTTCACTGCTTTCCTTTTCTTTACTTTCTTGCAGGATTTTTTGCACCGATAAAAGTCACTGAGGTGGAACAAAGCTCGAAGGACGACGGTGTAGATACGACAAATGATTGAACTGCTGCTGTGGATGATTGTTTTCAAGACGTATTAATATTTAGACCGTTTTCTTGGGATCAGTTGTGTTTTAATTTTAGAAAGAAGCAAAAATGTTCAACACAAGAGCGTCTTTAAATGTCTTGTTTTGTTTTACGAAAAGTCGAAGATTTTCACGTTGCTGTTGTGAACGAGAACGAAAAACATTAAACCTTTTTTTAGAGGCTACAAGAGAATATTCAGTATTATTACCTCGCGAGTGAGTTAAAGAATGAATTGATCAAACTAACCACACAAACAACTTAAAAATGAATACATAAATTACATGAAGAAAACATAAACAATGTATACTGCTTTAGTTTTTTTAAATAAAAAAATATTTTAAAAATAATCAAACGATACTAATGAATGAGTAAAAAGAAAAATATGCATTTTTATAAAAAAGAAAAATATTTTTCTTTCTAAATAAACAGAAAATATTTTTTTAAAAATCAATTGATAAAACTAGCAAAAAGAGAAAACAATAACGACATGTTTTTAGATAAAAATATTATAAAACTAATCCTAAATATTTGACACGGGCAAAATCATAAATAAAAGTAATCAAAACAGAAAAGAGAAAAACAATAACGCACTGTTTTTCTTTTTTAAATAAACAGAATATATTTAAAAAACTAATAAATAATATTAAAAAAGGAAAACCATTCCAATTTTTTTTTCTTTTTTTTTAAACAAATGAATCTTTTTAAAAATTAGAAATACTATGAATAAAAAAGAAGAATAAAATACACATTGTTTTTCTTTTTAAATAAAC